TAGAGAGGTTGAGGCGCACGTTTTAAACGTGTAAACATGTACGTGTGACGTTCGGCGCCGCTTTCCCGTAAGCCTAAAAGTTTGACAATGGTGTTTGGAATGTTGAGCGTGATTCCACCGACTATCCAAACACCATTGTCAAACTTTTAGGCTTACGGGAAAGCGCCGCCGAACGTCACAGGTACACGTTTACACGTTTAAAATGTGTGCCTCAACCTCTCTAATGTAAATGCAATTTTCATTTTATTATATAGTATTTATATATTTTATTTATTGTTTACATGTTTTAATTTATTTAACTTATGTGTAATTGCTGTTTATGTTTATTGAAATGTGTATTGTTTAGAGTCTGGGAACAGGTTAATTCATATTTCTAATCAGAAAAACTGACTCAGACTTTAATGGTCTAGAACAAATTAAATTCCAAGTATGAGGCACCTCTGTAATAATATAATAAATATATAATAATGTATATATAATTTATATATCATTTATAAATTATTAATATTCAATTATGATATTAAATACTCATTCTAAAAATAAAATAAAAAAACTGAAGTTTTGATTCCAATTAACTACAGAATAATTTAATTTTTATTATATACATACACAAATAAAATTACATGTATGTATGTATGTATAATAAATATAGAGCATTATTTACACCCATGTTGCAAAATTCATACAATATTTTATGAATGATTCTCTATTAAAAAGAAAAAAAATTGATGTATAGTAAGACCCTGCTTAACACTGCCTCAATTAACACTAATTCAATATAACATGGTCTGCTCGAAGCCTTAAAAAATAGCTCAAAATTTAAACTGATTCAAATTATCATGTAATTTAATTAATTCATATATAATATGATTATTTACAAACACAAACCAATCAGCAAAGGGTGGCAATTCATTGCAGAACTGTACTTCCCTTAAATCTATGTTTGTTTTGTGCAATTTTGGAAAAAAAGTACAACATCATGGATGCCATAGGAAATATTGACTTGGCTTGGCAAAAATTAACTGATAAATGCATGTGTGGAAGAAGTTATGGCTGAAGGTATTCAAGAATTCTCAATGAGAAGAGACTATCGTTATATCGTTAGGTTGACCAAATTGTCAACCTAATCGATACAGCAGGACTAGAAGATGTAGATGAGCAGGATATTGAGGAGTTACTGCAGGTCTCTGGTGAGAGCTTTACTAACAACAGTTGGCAAGGCTCTCACCAACAATGACCTTCAAGAACTGGCAGAACAAGGAATTCATGTAGAAGTGGAAAATACTGATTCTGAAAATGAAGAACTCAAAGAACTTGCTACAGATTTCCTTATTAAAAGTTTAGTAGTAACAATAACCAAAAATCATTAATCAAATGATCCAGATTTTGAAAGGAGCGCAAAAGCAAAATGAGGCATTCTGGATGTGATCTTCTGCTACCAATGTTTGCTTAAGGAAAAAAAAAGAAAGTGACAAATTAAACTACACAACTTTATTGCAAAACACAAGAATTTCAGAGAAGCCAGGACCTTCATCACAAAAAATAAAATTTACATTTCTGTCTGCATATATTTGTGCATATCCATTATTTAACATATATTGTTATGCAAATTAATATAAAAAATCTGTTTATTTTTGGTTGCGTGTTCCCCTTTCTCTATTTACTCAGTGTTAAAATGATCTCGCTTAATGCTGTTTCATTTAGCGCTTTGTCGTCTATGAACGTATTCCCCACGTTAAGCAGGGTCTTACTGTTTGTTGGCATTCAGTGTTTCATTGGATATTTTTTATTATAAAAGTTATGATTTTTGATAATGTTTGTTTGATCATGTATGCTCTTAAGTGGTTTGTAACTAAACAATGCTGTATGTAAAAATATATTGAAATAACTTTATTATTGTGATTTTTCTTCTAATGTTTAAATACTGGCATGAAAATTTAAATTATTATTATAATCTCAAAATTGAAATTTTTTCAAAAATTCTAAATATTTTTCAAATTAGACTAATTTTAAAATAATATATTAATCTACCTTGTTCCATAACAGAAAGATTATTAGTTCATTAGGTATAAGCAAAAAATAGTGGTACCCACACAACCACCATAGTACTAGCATCTGAATATTATGTTATTTCATTTTTCAATTATGAAAACTCAACTCAAACTGATCATCAAGTAGGTACAGAATATTTTATTAATAGAAGTAAAGAACTGTCTTTTTGGTATAAAAGATGAAACAAAGACAATATTAAGTTTAAAAACTATCATATTTACAAGTCTGGTCTCATATGGGCTAGTTAAACAGGAGTCTATTTTAAAAAAAATTCAAATTAACTATATTTTTAAATACTAAATATGAATTTCAATGGAAATAATAGCAGGTTTGATTTATCTAATAATTTGAATTAATTAGATTCAACTATATTAAAAAAAGACAACTTTGCTACCTTTAGAATGAAATTTATATGGTTCTCTTATCTCACCTTTAAAGAAACAAACTATTAATTTTGATGTTAAGATTTAGAATGTATGAATAAAATAAAATGGTTTCTGTATTAATTCATAATAAAATCCTTTAACAAAGATTAAGACAATTTCACAGTTTAAAGTTTTTAGAATATCCTATATACACAAAGCTTTGTTGTTATTGGTAAACTTTTAAACATACTCCAATTTATTAAAGGTTAAAAGTTGAGAAATAATATAAATTGCTACAGCAGTTTACAGACTAATAGTAAAAAATCTCTTATTACTTTATTATAATGAATCTATTTAGTTTATAATTAGTATTAGATAAATTGTATTATATTAATGTTTATTCAATTTTAAAAATCATTAGACAAATTATGTCACTGATAAAATATAAATGTATAGTTTTAGTAGAAACTTGTGTTTTCATAAAAAAGAGTGACTAAATTACAGATTTATTTTCTCAAAAAAAATTAAAGTAAAATTTTATAGAATTTAGATTATGAAAAACACTATTCAAAACAATTAGATGCTTTGATATCACCTGTACAATCAGTATGAAAATATATCTGAAATCAATATCACTCATATGGTTTAAATGTTTTATATTCAATAGAACAATTATTGCTGCTTTTTGTCAAGTTCACTAATTATTAGTTGTATATAAGAATAAAAAAAAATCTCTTTTTAAACTGAAGAATTCCAATATCATCTCTGCATAATCGAAATAAACAAAATAATAGTTTATGAGAATCATAATTATGAAATATAAATTCATTATAGTTTTTAAAAATTAACACTTACCTTTAAATGCTGTATCCCAACAAGAACAAGAACATGTTTCTCTATTTACTTTCATTGTATATTTATCCCATAATTGATATACTATTCCCAAGTGAATATAAGGAATAATAATAGGTAGCAGGATAGCACCACCAATACATATAAAAATTCGTTTATATTGCTGTATTTTCATGATAAAATATAATACAGGGGAAATAAAATTGTTTTGATGGTGAACATGAAGTGGTAGAGGAAATTTATGTGAAGTTGTCATCATGAATAGTCTGAAATTAAAACAATTACAGATAATAAGCACTATAATTACATTAAATTTTCAATATATGTTTGTTACTGATTGTTGGTTGAAGTTGAGTGAAAAAGGGTTAAAAGCATTCCCAATTAATATGATTAACAGAATTTGGCTTCCTTACAAGCAGTAACAAAAACACATATTGATAATGGTACCAATTCAAAGATTATAATAACTTAAATTTTTATAAATATATTTTGAGAATTTTTATAAGTTAGAACAACACAATTCTATTTATTACAACAACCTTATGTTTGATCATGTATGCTCTTAAGTGGTTTGTAACTAAACAATGCTGTATGTAAAAATATATTGAAATAACTTTATTATTGTGATTTTTCTTCTAATGTTTAAATACTGGCATGAAAATTTAAATTATTATTATAATCTCAAAATTGAAATTTTTTCAAAAATTCTAAATATTTTTCAAATTAGACTAATTTTAAAATAATATATTAATCTACCTTGTTCCATAACAGAAAGATTATTAGTTCATTAGGTATAAGCAAAAAATAGTGGTACCCACACAACCACCATAGTACTAGCATCTGAATATTATGTTATTTCATTTTTCAATTATGAAAACTCAACTCAAACTGATCATCAAGTAGGTACAGAATATTTTATTAATAGAAGTAAAGAACTGTCTTTTTGGTATAAAAGATGAAACAAAGACAATATTAAGTTTAAAAACTATCATATTTACAAGTCTGGTCTCATATGGGCTAGTTAAACAGGAGTCTATTTTAAAAAAAATTCAAATTAACTATATTTTTAAATACTAAATATGAATTTCAATGGAAATAATAGCAGGTTTGATTTATCTAATAATTTGAATTAATTAGATTCAACTATATTAAAAAAAGACAACTTTGCTACCTTTAGAATGAAATTTATATGGTTCTCTTATCTCACCTTTAAAGAAACAAACTATTAATTTTGATGTTAAGATTTAGAATGTATGAATAAAATAAAATGGTTTCTGTATTAATTCATAATAAAATCCTTTAACAAAGATTAAGACAATTTCACAGTTTAAAGTTTTTAGAATATCCTATATACACAAAGCTTTGTTGTTATTGGTAAACTTTTAAACATACTCCAATTTATTAAAGGTTAAAAGTTGAGAAATAATATAAATTGCTACAGCAGTTTACAGACTAATAGTAAAAAATCTCTTATTACTTTATTATAATGAATCTATTTAGTTTATAATTAGTATTAGATAAATTGTATTATATTAATGTTTATTCAATTTTAAAAATCATTAGACAAATTATGTCACTGATAAAATATAAATGTATAGTTTTAGTAGAAACTTGTGTTTTCATAAAAAAGAGTGACTAAATTACAGATTTATTTTCTCAAAAAAAATTAAAGTAAAATTTTATAGAATTTAGATTATGAAAAACACTATTCAAAACAATTAGATGCTTTGATATCACCTGTACAATCAGTATGAAAATATATCTGAAATCAATATCACTCATATGGTTTAAATGTTTTATATTCAATAGAACAATTATTGCTGCTTTTTGTCAAGTTCACTAATTATTAGTTGTATATAAGAATAAAAAAAAATCTCTTTTTAAACTGAAGAATTCCAATATCATCTCTGCATAATCGAAATAAACAAAATAATAGTTTATGAGAATCATAATTATGAAATATAAATTCATTATAGTTTTTAAAAATTAACACTTACCTTTAAATGCTGTATCCCAACAAGAACAAGAACATGTTTCTCTATTTACTTTCATTGTATATTTATCCCATAATTGATATACTATTCCCAAGTGAATATAAGGAATAATAATAGGTAGCAGGATAGCACCACCAATACATATAAAAATTCGTTTATATTGCTGTATTTTCATGATAAAATATAATACAGGGGAAATAAAATTGTTTTGATGGTGAACATGAAGTGGTAGAGGAAATTTATGTGAAGTTGTCATCATGAATAGTCTGAAATTAAAACAATTACAGATAATAAGCACTATAATTACATTAAATTTTCAATATATGTTTGTTACTGATTGTTGGTTGAAGTTGAGTGAAAAAGGGTTAAAAGCATTCCCAATTAATATGATTAACAGAATTTGGCTTCCTTACAAGCAGTAACAAAAACACATATTGATAATGGTACCAATTCAAAGATTATAATAACTTAAATTTTTATAAATATATTTTGAGAATTTTTATAAGTTAGAACAACACAATTCTATTTATTACAACAACCTTATTTTTAGTATTGTTTTTATTTAAATATTTTATTGTTAAGGCAAACAATAATAAGTGAAAATACAACTATGCTAAGATCAATGTTGCCATTAAAAAATTTGGAATATATTTTGTTTCTGTTACCATAAATTTTAAAAATTAATTTTTGTTTATAATAAAAATATTAGCTAGATAGGTGTAAGATTTCAGCATATAGGATTATTCAAAAATACTTTCTTTAACAATGATAAACAAATTTTAGTTTTTAAACAATAAGTATCATAGAATAAGCCAACAAAAAAGATTTCAATATTTAAAAAAATGTTGCATTAAATGACAATAATAATTATGAAATATGAAAATGAAACTTTCAAAAAATTTTGTATTTACAAAATTTTAATTGTAAAGCTTATAAAATTCTAATGCATATAATTGTGTAAAAACAAAATTTTATAAGCTTCACAATTATTATTAGAACCTAACATTCTAAAACTTTTAAATCTTTAAGCACAATGGCTTTTCGAATCTCGGAATTTTTAACCTGAAGAAGGCCGAAAAATATGGTTGAAAACATTTGTTATTTTTTCAATTAAATATTTTACTGGTCACTTAAAGGTTTTTGTGAGTCTGTGCTTACACAACTTCTAAATTTTCATTCATAAAATCACATAATGGACCCTTAAACAAAACTATCTGAGCTGTGGAGGACGTCATGATGCTTTCCACTGTAAACTACTGCTAGAAGCGGCTGTTTTTGCTGTTCGACAGCGCACACTCCAATCAGAATTTAGGAACACGTTCTGCAGGAATTTTTAAACGGATGTCACTTGCATGGAGTTACATGGAGGAATAAAAGAAGGCACCAATGGAGAGTATTTTGAAAATGACAGTAGCTATTAGTGAACTGTTCTGCATGCATATTTTTCTTAAAGGTGTGCATTCCAGGAATTAAATTCACACCTTGTATAAGAAACTACACGATGTAACACATGGATGGAGGATAAAGCTATGCAAAAACAAAGTACTACAACATCACAGAATGGAATAAAGTACAAAACTTGAAAATAAATCAACACATTAAATAAATATTTAATAAAAACTAATATAGAATTCTCATTATATTCTCTACTGAAGTTTTTTGTTTTACTTCTAATTACATGTCATAAATAAATGTAAATTGAAATATCCATTCCTATATGATTTTAAGACAATATGATAGACTTTATTTAATTAATGAGGAATAAAAAATAATTCTGATATATTCTTTTATACCATAGTTATATTTAGTTGNTTTTTCGTGTCTGATATTGTAGCCATATTGCGTGTTGTTTAACATGTTGGATAATGGGTTCAGGGCTAGGCAGAACCAGAGAGGACTCAAGGAATCTCCTTGAAATATTCTTCGCCTGATGAATATTTGGTTTGTTTGTATGGAAGTGTTACTAACCCTGAGATATAGTGTTGTTCTCCAGTGCTGCATAGTGTTTTGGAAGAATGCAACGAGTGATGGATGTATTTTGTACATGGTAGAATATGTAGCAATCAACTGTGTGGAACACTGTCGAATGCTTTTCTGTAGTCTATATATGCCATGTGTATGTTTCTGTGTTGTTTGTGTGTTTGCCGTAGAATGACTGAATCTATGAGTAACTGTTCTTTGCATCCC